TGACAAAAATTTCTTTTGTCTGAAGCTGTTTTAAAACGAGAGGCTGGATAGTAGTTTCGCTGTTACTCGTTATAGTTACACATAAAAATGCAAAAGAACAAACAATTTTATTTGAATAAGCTCGCTCGGGTTTCACTCGAGAGTCCATTGCTCTTTTGGGGTGAAGAAGTTTTGATACTCATATATTGCTATGTAAACCGGGTGTGCCCTTTAGGTTAAAATAATACCAACAATAAGGGTATGTCTTCCGGGGTGCTAAGTAATGCGCAAAAATGGCGTGATTTTCGTATTAAAGATGTGGGAATGACGGAGCGACACACCACACACACTGCATTTAAATTTATTTATTTATTTATTTACTTATTTATTTATTTATTACCCTTTATGTTCTGGGCGCTCAACAGGCTTTCGCCTAATTACAGAGTGACCTGCATAATGCTTTTTAGAGGCAATTAGGAAAACTGGTGGACTTTATTACAAAGAGGCACATAATTACTGAGTTTTATTATTTAATTTTAGTCAAAGTTGTACTTATGCTAGAAAAATTGTTGAATAATTTAATAGGTTATATTTGTTTTTGTTTATAAAACGCAACTTTTATTTGAAACTTTTTTCGATAGCTCTCGTTGTAACTGAAGTATTTCAACCTAGATTTGAACTTTTTAAAAATGTGGATTTTCACTTTTTCCAATTATCTACGAAACCATTTATTTTTTCAAAATATTGCTCTCGCAATTTAATCGAATCTGGAAGTATAATAACAACAAATATATCCATGTTATCCTACTCAACCTAAGACACCCTGTATACAGAGTGCTCCAGATCGAGTGGAGTGGCACGGGTAACTGCTACAGATAGCGATTGGGTAAACTAAGAAAAGTTTGGTAATTTCGTCTGCTAACTAAAAATTGCGTTTAGGAAAATTAAAAAAACAGGGCCAGATTGAAACGTATTTAAAAATGTGATTTCCATAATTATAAAAATTATGAGAAAAAGTTTAGTATGAAAGTTTTTTATTTCGCTAGTAAAATATCTCCACATCTCCAGAATAGAGCAGAGAAGCAGAAAAGGGACAAAGAAAGTGTCTCTCTCTGCTTCTTTTGATTTTTACATCTGTATTGACTACCCGTTTACAAGTAATTCCAGCATACTAATAAAAAAATTTAGTGTTTACCACAGACGAGTGAGTTCCGCTGACACGTCGGAATTTCCGTACTCGGCGCCTAAAGACGAAAACATAGTATATTGTTTACCAAGGACGAGAAGTGAGTTTTCGGCGAGGTTTTCGCCGGCGCGGCGTGTCAGCGGATCTCACTGGTCCGTGGTAAACATTAAATTTTTTTTATTAGTATGCTGGAATTTCTTGTATTTATAAACGGCTAGTCAACACAGATTTAGGAAAAAAAGCAACTCTGTATTCATTTTAAGAAGGTAGCCGTAAAAAACATATTGAAGATTTGACCTTCAGTGTGATTTGTTAAAACACAAGTCAGTATTACGCTGAAATATAAAACAAGTGGCGAATTTTGCAAGCTGGTAGTTTCTGTTGGCATCTAAACTATTGAAGTGTCATTAACTGTTAATGTCAAAGATTGATATGTGTTTGCAGTGATAGATGTTTCTACTTTACAATAATTTGGTGCCGTTTTATATTTTTCCTGTGTGTGCTTATCTTCAAACCCAGCGCCATCTACTACCTTCTTATAATGAATGAAGTATAACACTAACTGTGATACTGTGTGACATGTGGTTTGACCCATGGTACAAGACAAGGTGTGCCTATGCGTGACGTCATTGGGATAACTTGGCTCTACCGTTCAATAAAGTAATGGGGTTTGTGTAGTCCTACCAGTTAATAAAAGTGTATCCCCTTTACGGATGTGATAAGATTTGTTCAATCCATGTCAACTCAACTGCGTCAAGTTTCTCACATTAAATTTATAAAGTATAATTTATTGCATGTTATCAATACAAATATTTAAAGTTACAATAAAAATATGTAAGTAAAAAAGTAAAAATTATATTAGCGTTGTCAAATAAGGACGAGACCTCTAGCGGCAAATAAACACATGAATAGAAAATTCGCGTACTGCGTAGCTGTGCGTAGCCAATGTAATTTTATAGTCTTTGGAGCACATCTATTACACATGACACTTCCGAGGATTGCCACCAAAGTGATTTATTCATCATTATTACACACTAATTGAGTAATTGCGATGGCACTTCTAATTCAAGTGTGAAGCGTATGTCATATTCAAACTTGGCGGTGATTTTTGGACGTCATTGGGATAAAAACGTCATCTGCGTTTAGTTATAGGCATATCTTGTCTTATTGTACCATGGTTTGACCTAGGGTTTGACATACCGTGACAGAAGTGACAAATGACAGTTGGTATAGGTAGCGAACCGTTCAGCAGAATTAGGAGCGCTTATTGTGAGCCTGCGGTTAAGACTCCTCTGTAGTCAATCCGCCATATTGGAAAAATAACTAAACTTTCTTATGAAATGCTGCTTTTGTAGTTGAAGTCTTAACAAATTCTCGATAGTGGATATTCTTTGCAATGATGAAAAGAACGGCGGTACTTAAAAAAAGCTGAAATATCGCTCTTAGTTTTTTAGGAAGATCGTTGAATAGAAAAATCGGTTTTCGTAAATAACAGCCGTTGTAATGGGAGTACAAAAACCTACAGCACCAATTTGGAAATCCGACAGTATTTTTTACGGCGGTACTTAAAGATATTATTTCCATCTATTATGATAAGGCATATATTTAAAAAAAATAAGTTCCGCGATTTTCAGAAAAGAGCGCAACGTTAACATAAAGGTAAGCAACTCAAATTGCACTTAAACCCCTAAGGCGATATCTCATTACTTGCAAGGGAAAACAAAAGAAACTACCTGGCATTATCCTGGCACATTGTTACCTCATTCCTAAGTAGCCTATACCTTGGAGGTCCGCCAGACGGCCATCACTTTTAGATGTTTTAAGGCCCCCCTCTTTTTTACCCTTATCAAAATAGGGAGTTCGGGGAAGAGAGGGGCTAGTTTTATCCATACTCTAATGAAAGGTCTCAACAAAAGGAATCCATTTTTACCTCTTCGACGCTTCATCGTGATCGGTTATAATTTTTATCTCTATAGCGAATTGCCGGAGGAGGTACTCACAAAGGGCGATTGGGACGTGTGGAACAAATATATCCATTGGTAAAATTAACACGATAAGAGCGAATACAGTTTGTCGGAGGAGAGGCAGAATGAATCGTCTGGACGAGACATCTATTGATGAAGTCGAAGCGAATATCTTGACAACAGAAGAGCCTTATAACCCAACTATTTACTAAGCTATTTCGGTTTAAAAAATGCACTTTATCTGCACAAGAGTTGTGCACAATTTATAATTGTTTCAATATGATCTGATATCAACAAGGATGAATACTTGGTCGTCAAAGAAATAGAGGAATGCCCAATTTCAATTTTCACTACTGAATTAAGGATTTAATAAACCGAATTATGATACCGCACAAACGATGCCAATATCGATACTTACAGACCAAAAGTGTAAATTCGATTGCTTGATGTCCATGTGATATCTCATGCTTTTTGGTGCCGAATATGGTTCTACCCATAAAAATGGAAGATAGGTTGCAATGACAATATGTATAGACATGTGTTATTGTGTTAGTTACATTTTTACCAGCAGTTTTGTCTGTTCGTAAAAAACCTTCATGGGCCGTGCATAAATAAAACGAATACGCTAGGTAACTGTACAATTATTTTTTGAAAAGATAAGAACTTTTTTTAAATAAGTAAATTAATAACCTATTAATTATAAAAATGTCTAAATCAAAGTTGATCAGTAAAATTGATTAAAACAAATAACAGGAAATAATAATAAGGTGTAATTAACTAACAATCTATTGGGAATTGTTAGCAAACATTGCGAATTTTCTCCACTAATTACCTTAGAATCAAGTAATTTACAGAAGATCTCATTATAGACAAATGGAGTAAAAGGAACAGGTATTTGTGTAGCTTTATTCGAATATTGGCTACACCTTTTCAATAAACTTGTTTACATAATTAGTCCTTGATCATTATACCTGGTCTATTGTGTTTAACAATAAATGAAGAAAATATGCAAAACTGAAAAGGATAGAAATATACCGTTTTCGTACTCCACAAATATACGTAGAAATGTGTATTGTTGGTGGTCTAACCAATTGCAATAACATTGAAATGCAAATTGGTACACTTGAAGCGCTTCAGTATGGTGAACGCACCCAATACTTCGCTGTTTGAATTGATCACTCAAAGATCATACTACACGATCACTGAAATGTCACATTTGACGTACGTATAAAAAAGACTCACTTCTCGTCCTTAGTAAACAATGAATTGTGTTGTTGCCAAAACTTCTTACATACTATTTCGTGTTATATGTGTTTATATAAATATAAATATAAGTGTGACTACTGAATATCTCGAAATTCTAGAGTGTGATTGTCGAAGGAAGGGACCTATAAAGCGAAAATGCAATATTGCGGATAATTTCTCTAAAACCGAGTCTTCTTGAATTTGAATGTGTGCCACGCGGTCTTTAAATGTTTATGTGATAACTTTGCATCAGAGTTTGGGGTCTTATAATTATTACAACGATTTGGTGGATTGTGAACTTCTCAAATTTCATTTAGGTATCTACATATTTGTACCTATACACGTAAATAAAAATTACCTAATTAATATTAAAAAAGGCCTGCTTTTAGTTTCTCAAACTGCTATAATTAGTGGCACATTCCGATCATATCCAGACCACATTAACATCGATAGCATCATAACATGGGTGTACCTGTACACATTCCCATTCATTGACCAGTTGCTTAGAAATTTAAATGCGGTAGGATCGTGATCAATAAAAAGGTGTTTTAAGGACACATTAAAATTTTAAGAAGTTCATATCGATTAACAAAACAAAATATTAGAATGATATGAAAGTTACTAACTGTAGGGTATTGGTCCATAAACCAACGGGACATTTCCTGCGATGGTGTGTCGGTATAAGGCAGTTTCCGGCTGCCGGCGTATTTGACCTGGCGATTTCCTGCGGAGATTCGCCTCTCTAGTTGTCATCTTATTTCTTGTGTTATTCGACACAGCACATTCAAAAGTACACACTACAGCTATCACTGCACTATTTCAATTTCACATTACGTAAAATTTTACGTTTCATGTCGACATTATCAGTTTATCTTATCATTGTTCCATATTGGATAGGCACGGTTTGTATTAGCAGATTAATATCTACACTAATGACAAATTAGCGAGAAAAACATTGGATGATAAGCCATAAAATCAAACTCGCGTCGAAGACATTCAAGTTCGTGGCCAGATCCCAACTAAATTGCACCTACTTAAGGTAAAGATGTTGAATGAAAGTTAATTAATAAAGACTGCACTAAACAATGGCAGTGTCTGTAGGTGATTACGTGAGATTTTGTATGCAAATAGATTTATCCCACGTACCAATGCATAAATGAGTATAACAGGAAATACGAAGACAACATCAAAGTTGGCCTTCAGCAGGGATTTTGTTATTGATTTTGGAATATAATTTTTGATTGACTGCGTTGAACGTGTCACCTTACTAAAAGAAGTGCAAGCTGTTGCTTTCGTATTGTAAACTGTTAATTCAACATAAGTGTAGGTATTATGTAAAAATTTCAGTTCAGAGAACCGTGTTGTATTAGATAAAAAAAACATTAATGCACCTATGTGGGAAAATGAAGATTGAAGATTTTGCTCAAATTTACACACCACCATAAATTGACAAAGAAGACTCTTTCCATCATCTAAAACAACAGGGGACATATACGAGGGTTGTCCAGAAAGTAGCAGACGTTTTGAAATAAAAAATTTTAAACTTGTAAGAAAATCTATTATTGCATACATTTGAGGGCTACACCCTTGGGCTATTTATCAACATAAGTGCCATTCAGATTGAGACACTTATCATAGCGTGGCACAATTGTTTTGATTCCAACTTTTATAAATCCGCCGCGCATTTTGAATCCTATTGTCTGGCACACCTTCAAGGTATAGACTACCTACTGCAAAAAATTCCAGGACTCTAGGACCATTCCCCTAGAAGTAGTTTAAAACGGCAGAAGTGGGTCCTGTAATTTTGTAGTAATTTGCGATTTGTAGCCTCTGTGGGTTGCGCCTTGTGAGGGTATCTTTCGGAAAAAAGACGGCAAGTCCTGGCAGCTATTCGATTCCATTTACCGTGTAGTAATATTAAATTCAAAAAATCTTCATTAGTGTAACCCAAACGAGCCATTATTGATGAGAAGTATAAGTTCAAGCAGCGAAAATTTGACATTTAAACATTATGATAATAAAAACAAAAGAATAACATCAAGCGACTTGATTTTTTTATCAATTTGCCACAAGAAGTAACTAAAACATGGAATATCTCGGAAACCGTTTGAAGCAGCTTTTGACATTTTGTATCAAATTAAAGGTCTGGGAAAAAGGAAAACAACGGTGAAGAACAAAATGGAGGGTGCCATTTGAAAAAATGGAGTTACGGATATTTAAAAGTATAAAAGTTGAGAGCTTTGAAGAAGTGTTGTAGTCTCACTTTTTTAGCTGTTACGCATACCATAAGAAAACTCGATCTTTTTTTAATAAATCAGTGAAAACTGTGTTGCAATATCTCTCACCGTTTTCGAATCATAAATTTTTAAAATTACCCATGCAAATTCAATTTCTGACATAAAAACTTGAATATCGGCGAAGCCCTTGGAGCAAAGGGTCAACTATGGGGTATCGTTGTACTATTCGACGTAGAAACCGAATTATCAGTTTATCTTCATTTTCAAAGGTTTTCCATATCTTTCTATATGACGCTCGTCAAGAATGACCCTGTATATACAGGTACACTGATATTTTAACATAGGTATTGATATTTTATCTTAAGTTCTTTGCATTAAAACCAAAAATGCAACGACCGAACTTCTGTAATCGCTCATCCTAAATAATAAGCGCACACTAAGTTGCTAGATAGTTTTTTAACTTTGACATTTTTTTCTCTTCTTTTTTTATAATAAAACGTAGCATGATTTTGTTGTATTACACAAAAAAAGGAAGTCTTTCGAATAATTTAATAAAAATATTGCTTTTTTATTTGAGAAAAAAGTTGTATGGCGTCACGGCGCTAAAAACTAGATATTGAAAAAAGTTTTTGAATGAATGTTATTTTGACCAAAAATTTTGACCTAAAAAGCAGTTACTGTGGAAACAAAATTTCAATTTTTCAATGTAAGCGCCACCTTAATGTGAATCGGCTATAAGGAATACGAGCTCTTTTACACGAAAATACTGTATGCGACATACAGTCTGTCGTCAGAATTCGTATCCGATACACTTCGCAGACTTTGGGCATTTTAAATTGCTCTGGCGCAGTGAGGCACTATTTCGGCGAAGTATTTTCAATGCAGTGGCGGGAGGTTCTCTGTACAGTCACACTTGGTAATGGGCGTTAAAGACGCCCTGTTACTCTATACACCCTAATGTGTAAACATAAACGGAAGAAACGAAGGATTCGTCGTCAAATCTTATGACTATTTGGTCTCTTCGGGCGAAAGTGACGAACAGTGCTGACCGGTTGCTAATGAAACAGTATCCGCGTGTGAACAGTTCCATAATATTACCTAATAGCCCATCAGTCCCCCAAAGTCGTAAAATCAAAGAGCGAGTGGGACTAGCGAGAGAGCGAAATTTTAGTCGCTGATACTGTATGCGGGAAGTATGCGTGTGTAAACGACTCCATTGTAAGGTGTATCCGAGATACCAGTTTGCGAGCGACTGTATCCCCGTGTAAGTAGAGGAATGAAATCCTTGTAACACACGTATTCATCATTGCAACTGCCTATCCTATGTCGACCAGGCATTATCTATTTTACAGTCCAAAATAAATCAAATGATTTCAAGAATGATACAAGGTACAATTATGTACTACCTTGTCGAAGAAAATAATGAAATGCTAATGCCAAATACACCATCTGTACATCGAGCATTTGTAAATTGCTGCAGATTATACAATACCTATTATAAAGCTACATTTGAGTTGTGCCCAAACATCGGATGATAACGGGGACCAAAACAAACATTTTTTTCAAATGAACCAAGGGTCGCAAATGTTTCGTTTGGAAGCTACAATAAAAAGTCCCTAAGATTGATTTCTTATTCAATTTTTTTTAATTCCCAAAATTCCTATTCCAAGATGGCGCGAGAGAATAAATATTGATGTGTATATACAGGATACAAGTCCCGAAATATTCTATTGTCTACCTCCATTATTAACCAACTCCTAGCGAGTTTATAATTTTGTTGTGTCTGTTCGTCTATCCGTTCGTCTGTTAGCACGATATCTCGATAACTAATGGACCGATTACGATGAAATTTTGTAGGTGGATTCTTTATCAAATATGTAAATCGGAGTTCGTAAATGAGAAATGTAGGTAAAAAGAGACCTTTTTGACATCTTTGTTACTTATGAACCGAATTGCTTGAAATTCAATATGAGCAAAGCTCTAGCCGTACGACACGCAATTTCAAATGTTGAGTGCTCTTTTGGTATCTCGACCATTTGTGAACCGAATTTCTATTTGCGAAAGAATTTAAATGGTAATTTTTGATTCTTAAGCACTTGAAATAAAACCAAATGTACGCCAATTTAAAATTTTGGTTTTGTGCACTCGTGTAGTGTTAACTTTCTTATTTACAAAAGCATTTAAATGAAATTTGATACTTAGACACTTGGAATAAAAGTTTCAAAATTTGGTTTTGCGCATGTTATAGCCATACCTAGGAGCTCGTTTGCTATATTTGTTTACACGTTTATTTATGAAGCAATTTTACCACCCGCACATCAGTACTAAAAAAATGACACCCCTTTTTCGACGGATAGGTATACAAATACACGTTTTGACGCACCAGCAGTATGAACTCCGAATCAAACAAAATCTTGATGATGTTGATCGGTTTGTCGGTCTGGCGGTTTTTCTGTCTGTACTCCCATTTCCAGTTAAACGGTTGAACCGATTGTCACCAAATTTGGTACACATATTCTAAGACGTAAAAGAACAGAATCACGTATGCGCAGGTATGTGCGTGGTAACAAATTTTTTGATAGGCAATTGGTAGGCTTATACGACAAATATTTATGCATTTAGCAATCGTAATGTCATCCTTTTTAGCGCATTTCCACAAAAATAAAAAATGCGCTATTGTGGCCACTTTGTCCGTCCGTCCATCCGTCCGTTCGTCCGTCCGCTCGTTTTGCGACGGTACTAGTTCTTTATCTTAAGAGCTATTGTTCTACTTTTTTCGCTATTTGGTTCGTTATGGTGTCGAGTCTTGTACCAAAGAAGGAATTTTTTTCTGTACCGCTTACAAAAAAAGTTATTGTAAAAAAAACAAAAAACCGTTTTTCACATGTTCCTTAATTTTACACTTTTGCCGTTTATTAACGATCCTCGAGATCGTTTAGAATTTTGCATTGCTATCTGTCGTCTGCCTGTTGGTCTGTCCGTCTGTTCCTTTGTCTGTCTGTCCATCTATCTGTCCGCGTGAACGATAACTTTGTTTAGAAATGTTCGATCGCTTTTACATCTCCGTTAGTTATGAACTGAATTGCATGAAATTCAATATGGGCATAGCTTTAGCCATATAATACGCAATGCCAAAAGTTGAATCGAATCGATTCAAAATTCACAGTGCCCTTTTCGCATCTCGACCATTTATAAGCCGAATTGCAAACTTGTTTACTTATAAAAGTATTTGAATGAAATTTGATACATAGGCACTTGGAATAAAGGAAAATCAAACGCCAATTTCAAAATTTGGTTTTGCGCATGCGCAGTGCCAACTTTTTTATTATGGAAGAATTTAAACGAAATTTGATACATAGGCACTTGGGATAAAGGAAAATCAAACGCCAGTTTCAAAATTTGGCTTTGCGCATGCGCAGTGCCAA